GACTGTACTCGGCCACGCGCAGAGTAGGGTAAGGGGAGGAGGGGGTAGCTGCTTAGAAACACCCTGTTTCTTAGAAGGCGGAGTGAGACCGAGCACTCCGTCAGGCGATCGCAAACAAAGATTGGCGACGGGTCCCGTTTCCATGCGAGCTCGCGGGTTTCCGCCGCGGAGCGAGGCGTCACCGGCCGCGCTTTGGGGAGGGCAGCTCCCCCGATGAATGGATTTGGCGACCGCGCGCCACACCTACGGATTGCTAATCCATGTTTGCGCGCTCCCGATCCGTGCGGACCCTTTCCGCACAGACTCAGCATCCTCCGAGTCACAGCGCCAAGCTCCGTGGCGCGGGCCCCAGGGGCATGCGCGAGGCGCGGGGTGCGGCCCCCAAGAATGAATGTACGCCGACACCACCTCCATCCTTCCCCGCTCCCCTCCACCCTCCTTGTCCCCTCCTCTCTCTCGGGAGAGGGACGGGGTGAGGGAGGTGGCGGTGATGTAGATCTTAGGGCCCCATACCCAGAGGTGCGATGTCCTGATTTCTCCAGTACGGGGTATCCGGAAGTCCCGACCCTTCCCCCAGGACCGGTTTCTCAGCCTGAGTCGTTTCTTGATGGTTTCGGGGACGGCCAAGAGGGGGACGATGACAGGGGGGGTGGATATCATGGCGTGGGCCATGATACTTCTCCAGATCTCATGGCGCCGCTTCTTACTTCATTGCGTCCCTGGCTCCCCCGCTGGGCCGCGCACACGCCGCCGGCCATGATTTGCGCCCCCCCCTCTTGGACACCCCCCTCTTGGCCGCTCCCGAGCCAGAGGCCCCCCGGGGAGATGCCCAGGGGATTGGCGGCATCGCGGCTTCCCCCCCCCCCCCCCGGGTCGGCGCACCCAGGCCTCCAACGTCTAGCGAAACCTCGAGGCGGCCTCCCTCCAGGCCTCTCGAAGAGGGTACGCTTGAGGCCTCTCGAGGCCTTTCGAGGCCCCTCGAGGCCTCTTGGAGGCCTCTCGAGGCCTCTTGGAGGCCTCTTGGAGGCCTCTCGGGGCCTCTCGAGGCCTCTTGGACACCCCCCTCCTGGCCGCCCCCGACGGTTGTGGGGTCCTGCAGAGGCCCAGCACGGCCGCAAGCTCTCTCCGTCCTGCGTCTCTCTCCCGGCGCAGGCACGTCTCAGGACGGAGAGGGCCTCGGCGCGAGCCCTGGGCGCGGAGGCGGGAGCCGCATCTTCGAAGCGACCCGCCCTCCATTAGTGGACTTGGCCCCATCCTCCTCCTCCTCCTCCTCCTCCACCTCCTCCTCCTCCTCCTCCTCCCCCTCCTCCTCCTCAACATGTTTGCTCAGGTGTGATGTGTGATTGCCGCTTGTCCTGCGCGGCACGCATTTTGTCCCCTGCTGAGCCGAGGGGTCGTGCGACGTGGCCTGCGAAGGAACGAGCGAACGAGGACCATAAATGGCGGGTGGGGAAGTCTCAGTCGAAACGCCCAGGCCGCCCTTCCGACCAGTCCCGGAGTGCGACAGGAAGGAGTTACCTATCCATAGGGAAAAAGAATGGAGGAGGAGGAATACGAAGAGGGGATGCGATGTCCAAGGTCGATGGGGTGGACGGCAGGAGGGTGCCGAGTCCCCAGGAGCCGGACCTGTACATACCGGCCATGGGCTTCGTCACTTACGTGCTGCTGTGCGGCCTCATCCGAGGTTTGCAGGCTTGTCGCGGGGGCGGGTACCAGCCTGAAACATGCTTCTATACCTACCTAAGACAGGCACCATCAAATCCCGAGGCGGATCTTGGGGATTCCCGCAGTTCGTGACCAGGAAATCCTTACGATTGTCCTCGCCCTGGGCTGGACAATTCCTAGGTATACGGATGAGCGCGAGGCTGGTCAGGGGTGGGGGGGCGCTGTCAGCGCAGGGACTCTTTGTGGCGTCGTCGCCGCCGTCGTCGCCGCCGCCGTGGGATTGCTGTCGGTTCGCCGCCGTCGCTATCGTTGTCGGGTTGCCACCGTCGTCGTCGCCGCCGTCGTCGTCGTCGTCGTCGTCGTCGTCGTCGTCGTCGTCGTGTCGTCGTCCTCGTCCTCGTCGTCGTCGTCGTCGTCGTCATCATCGCCGATGCTCTCTCCTCCTCTGACTTCCTCTCCTCTCCTCCTCCTCCTCCTCCTTCCCCTTCTCCTTCCCCTTTCCATCCGCTCTAGTAGCCCCTCGAACCCCCTCGTGGTGCTTCCCTTCAGCAAGGACGACGACGACTACGAAGACGATGCCTGCGGCGGCGGCGGCGACGGCGACCCTGGGCTCCCCGAGGCCCCGGGAGGCGGAAGGGTTGAGGGAAACCTCAACCTTGGGTCGACCTAAACGGAGTGTTGGCGACTTCGTGGGCCGTATTCGTTTCGATGTCGTTTCGCAGCAAAGGCGGAGTGGAGACAAAACAGAAAAACACGAACACAATGCGACAACGAAACACATTGTTTTAGTCGAGCCCTGCCTTGATCCTCGGGTCTCGATCCACTGTTCAAAATAAACTCCGAACTCCGTCCACCTCGGCCAGCTTGCCAACCTTCGCCCAGCCGCGTCGCCGTCATTGTTGTCTCCCTCGACGGTTGCGACGACGATTGTAACGACGACGATTGTAACGACGACGACGACGAAGACGACGACGACATCACGACGACGTCGACGACGACGACGACGGCGGTGGCGACGACGACAACGACGACGGCGGGTGGCGGCGACGACGACGACGACGACGGCGGTAGCGGCGACGGTGGCGGCGACGACGACGACGATTTTGACTGCGGTTGCGATTTCGACGACCTCTCGCGGCGCTGGCCCGCGGCGCGCGGCGCGCGGCGCGGCGCCGGCCTGCGGGCCCCCCAGGACAACTTCCACCCGGACGTGCTCTACGCCACGCTCTCTTTCGCCACGGCGCGCCCCGCCCCGCCGTCTGGTTCGCTCCCAGCAGTAGGCTTAAGTCGGGCGTGTCCCTCTGCAGGAGGAAGACTCAAAAATTGTCAACAAATAGTCTGGGGACTATTTTTTGAGTATTCATGTTGAGCATTTTAAGGGTATTTTATTTGAATATTTTTTCATTGTTCGTCCAAGATCCCCCTGTAGGGGGACAGGCCCAACCTAGCAGTAGGCACAGGGGGGGGAATGCATCGACCCCCAGCTGGCCCGCCCGACAGGGGCCCGACGGCCCACTCCGCCCAGGATCGCGCGGCTCGCGATCGGGGGCCCATCGCCGACCTTTCTGCGGTGTGCCCCAAGGCCCCAGAGTCGATGCTTCCCCCCCCCCTCCCCTGAGCTGATCTCCCGCCTGCCGCTGCCCCTCACCTCGAGCGCTGTCGGAGGAGGCCAGGGCGAGGATGAATCCGTTCCAGAGCGTTCCGGAACGCGCTCAGAGCGTCCTAGAACGCTCTGGGGAGTCCGCGGTCTTCCAGAGCCGCCGGATCTCAGAGATTCTCGATCTATCCTCACCCGATCTATCTTCACCCGATTCTCGGCTCGAAGGCGAAGCTTCGTCGTTCCCGCGGCTACCCTTAAGTCGGGCCTGTCCCTCTACAGGAGGGATAACTATTCAAACATTGTAAAAACTAGTATAGGGGACGATTCTGAATATTTGAAGACTCTTTTTTGGTGTTGTTGGACACTTTTTTGTTTGTCGCCTAAGATGCGGTCAAGGATATGGCGCTGCTCCCCTGGACGACCTCGACGACCCCGCCCAAGGCAAAAGTGGAGCGGCTGCAACTTGGGCGGCGGCTGAGTGCGCCGGGCAAGCAAGAGCCCCGCGCGGCCGGGGCCCCAGGAAACGCCCGGCCCGAGGCGGAGGCGCCCAAGGCGGGGCTGCTGGCGGCAAGGCGCCGAACGGGAACGCGGCGATCACGGAGGTGGACCGCAGCAAGGGTGACGCCACCGCCAGGCGCGCATTCCAAGGAAAGAAGCGGGCCGACGTTGCGGCCAGGCCGCGCAGCTTCAATATGGCCGGATGAGCACGGCCGCGGAAAGGGCGAGGAAGCCCGAGCGCTCCGAGCGAAGCTGGGCGAGGGTCTGCCGCGCAATGGCCCGCGGGCTGTCGCGAGGCTCGTCGACGACGCCGAGGTTCTGCACGAACGAAATGGGTACGGAAAGAATGGGTACAATGCCCAACACAGTTCCTGTCATTTTGAACAGGACTCGCTGTCCGCGCCGCCGCGGCCTGTGTCCATTTGAGACAGGAGGCCGCCTGACCAACAGCGGCCGCTGTTGGTTTGGGACAACATTTGTTGTTGGGCATTGTACCCATTCTTTCCGTGACCATTTCGGGCGTCCAAAGAGGTGAAGGCTCAGGACGCTCGCCGAGGAACGGCAGGAGAAGCGGCCGTAGGACTGGCGCTCCCAGGTCCAGAGTACGCAGAAGAAGGCTCGCGAGTGGCTCCGAGACTGCACGCCAAAAGCCACGTTGGTGAGGGAGGGCGAGACCGCGGCGCAGGACGCCAACGCGGCGCTCGGCATGTTCTGCAGGAGGCGGAGAGAGCCATGGCACCGAGAAAAACCGCCTGCACACAGGTTGCGGGAGAAGCAGGGGCAATGGCCGCCGACGCTCTCGGAGCAGGAGCGGCCCAAGCTCAGCGACGAATTCGTGAAGAAGGGGTGCGCAGGCGCGGGCGGGCGCGCTCGAGCGCAGGGCCTGACGGCTAAGTCGTGGACGCCACGTTCGCGAGCCATCACCTACCTGCTGAGCGAGATGGAACAGGCCGCCTGCGTTTCAGACGGGTGGCAGCAGCGCCGGTAGGCACGCCTGCCGAAGGCCGCTCCCGAGGGAGGCAGCGGCGCGCTGAGCGCCGAGGATAATCGGCCCATCTTCGTGGCGAGTGCCTGACACAGGCTCTGGGCCACCTTCTGGGTGCGTTCAGAGGCCAGTCGCAGGAGGCAGGGCGCCCGGCGGGGCCCGGTGGTCGGCGCGGAGAAAGGCCTCGAGTTGCAACGGGCCGCGGCGTCCGCGATCGTGGCGGCGATCGTGGGCGTGCGCGTCGCCTTCTAGGATTGCGGCCTCGCTTTCGACGTGGCGGGCCCCGTCGTCGCCGGCCGCGTGCTGTCCGAGCCGGGCCTCCTTCCCAACCTTGGCGGCATGCTGATGAGCGCGCGGGGGAATCAGCGCCGGTGGCTGCAGCTCGCGGGCTGCGCCCCGCAGGGGCCGCAGAGGGTCGGCAGCGGCCTCCCCGAGGGAGACCCCTGGTCACCAGCGGCCCTCTGCGCTATGCTAGCTCCGCTCAACGTGCAGCTGCGCGCCGACCACCGCGCTTGGAAGAGCCCCGGGATCGCCGCCGCGCTCCGGGCCCCTGACAACTGGACAACGTGGTCAGCGACGCTGTGCTTGAAGGAAAACGAGAAGAAGAAGCAATTGCTGCACCGGCGCCCTAGCCAATGGCGGCTACTTGCAGAGGCGGGGGTCGACCCGGCCAGCGTCCGCGATGCCATCGACGCGCTGGAGGCCAAGATCACCGGAGGGCGCGGCAGGGCGCTTTCCAAGAGAGAGAACCAGCGACTCAAAACAGCAGAGGCGCAGCTCGTCAGGGCGCGCCGCCCCCCGCGCCAGCGGAAGGGGAAAAAGGATATGTGCCGCGTGGCCGCCGCCAAATGCGGCGCTCGGATGGATCGAGCAGCCGGCGCCGACGGGGGCGGCGGACCGGTTGCAGAAAGGCGTCGCGCAGGCCTTGCGTCCTATTCGGCAGAGCGCTCCGCCTCTACGTAGCTTGGCCCGGGGGCGCAGAGCTGACCCCCGGCGCAGAGCGCAACGGCGCGCTATCGTGGCGCTGGCTAGAGCGGCGTCCAAGCACGCGCGCCAGCGGCCAGTTCGCCCAGGAGCTGCCGTGGACGCACAAGGGAAGTTTCGCCGCCGATGTCAACGGCCACCTCGAATGGACAGGCTTGGGGGCCGCCGCCGACCGGGGAGCTTGGAAGCACGCTGGACCGGGAGACGCCACTAATTCGCTGGAACACTCCGGTCAGGCATGGGGGGGCTCAGGGCGCCGGGGCGTGCGCCGCGCGAAGCTTGGCGCCGCGCTCAGCGCAGCGGCTTCCGCAACTGGAAGCGCCGCGACGCGGCCGTCGTCGGACGGAGCGGCGTCGGCTGCAACCCCGCGCGGTGCTTTGACGAGGGCCCGGGAAAGCGATGGGGGTGCTGGCGGGCGCCGTCGTCTCACCCATGTGTAATGCAATCGCCATGGCCATGGCGCCAGGAGGTGCCCCAGTCTTGGGGCGTGCCCTTGGCGTGGTGCGCCGCAAGGAACACTGGGCCACCTCGCGGGGAAGGGCGCTCGCGCGCCTGGCCGGCCGCTGGCCCCGCCCGCCGACGTTCTTCAACGTGTGCAGTTCTGGCCGAAGGGCGCAAAGGCGGCGCGCGCAGTGGGCGACGCCATTCTCCGCTCGGCGCGCACCCTCGACGACTTCCTCACGCAGGAGAGGCGCCCTGCAGGTTTCGTCGTCCACCCCGGCGAGTCTGCAGACAACTTGGCTTAGGGGGCCTTGACGTCTGCGCTGGCACGGTTCTCCAGACGTCCGTTGCCGTTGACAACTCAGTGCAGCGGCTGGCGGTGCAGTTCGCGACTGGTGGTGCAGCTCGCGACTTGGACTTAGCAGTTCGTCTTCCTCCGCCCTTTCCTCTCTTGTCGCAGCCGCGCTGTCGATTTGTTCGGGCAACGGTCCACTGCGTGAGTTTGCTAATTGCATGTCGGCTCGTGCGGTGTCCCAATTTGTTTTGCGAGCGTTTGATTCGCGCTGTGGCTATGTCGCCCCGGCTGTGTTGCGTGGATTTGTCTTGGCCACCGCGCTGTCCACTAATGCCCTTCCAGTCGGGGTGCATTTTGTTGCGTTTCCTCTGGTCTGCGGCCGGCCTGAGGGAGGGGGTAATTCGTTACCTTTCACGCGCTCGCTCTCCCTCGGGCCACGGTTCACCTCGTGAGTTGTCCTTCTGCAGGTCGGCTCGTGGGCTGCACCCGGTTTGCCTGGTTTTTCTTTGCGTGCTTCGCGCGTCCAGGGTAACGCAGGGACGCGCAATTAGAGAAGCAGCCATGTGGGCGCGGTTTCGCTTGAGACGGGGGGGGCCCCCTGAGCCGCGTTCCGACTGTGGCTTAGAAATGTTGGAGGCTGGCAGTTCCGAGCGAGCAACAGCAGTCACATGTTGCTGAGTTTTGGCTACTTGTACTCTTCTCCAGGAGGCTCCACCAGTATTTCTACCCCCATTCGATTGCGATGGGATTCGATTGCCCCCTGCCCCCCTCTGCTCCCCCCCTGTTGCACGTTGCGCGAACTAGCGGGCCCATCTATCTGCTTCTTGAGCCATTTTGGCCCGTTGCTAGAAGCGGAATAGCGGCTTGGAGCGGTTTCTGAAGGTAATTTGCGATCGCCATTTTCTTGTTTTCTTGCTCGCGCTCCGACTGGCGCAAGACACTCGCTCGCTCTGGCTTCATTTTATACTCATGAGAGACTGGTATATCCTGGCAGTTCTGTTTTTAGAGTACACTCGCGTGCGCTAGCGTCTGGTATTCTATGAGAAAGCACCGACCCAACATCGGCTAGCATCGAATCAGCGCCGACAGGCGTCGATAAGCGTTGGCTAGCGTCGGTTAGCGCAAGCTCGCAAGAGCCAGGAAGATGGCATGGGATGCTCCCATGAGTTGCCATCGAGTTTTCGGGAGGAGCGGATGAACATCGAGGTTCTTGGATTGAGAAAGTTGGTATTTGGGCTTGGCGGGTAATTCTTTACGCTTCGCGTATCCCCACCAGCCCATCTCTCAACAGCAACTCTTGCGAAGCGTGCCGACAGTCGTGTTTTTCAGGCGTGTTCCGCCTGCCCCCGCATATCTCCCCTGTTACTCCTTCCTCCCGCCTCCTTGTACATCCTCCTTGTGGGGGGAGCGGGAGAAGGACGAGGCGGAAGAGGAGGGAGAGAAAGCGCGCCTCGTGGTTTGAGTCGTTTGTGGCTTCTCGTCCTGGTGTGAGTCGTTCGGGCCCTTCTTCCTGGTGTGAGTCGTTCGGGCTCTTCGTGGTGTGAGTCGTTCGGGCTCTTCGTCCTGGTGTGAGTCGTTTGGGCTTCTCGTGGTGTGAGTTGTTCGGGCCCCTCGTCCTGGTGTGAGTCGTTCGGGCCCCTCCTCCTGGTGTGACTCGTTCGGGCTCCTCGTGGTGTGAGTCGTTCGGGGCCCTCGTCGTGTGTGAGTCGTTCGGGCTCCTCGTGGTTGCTTGTATGAGCGCTGCCCCTCCTCCGGGTGTGACTCGTTCGGGCTCCTCGTGGTGTGAGTCGTTCGAGGCCCGCGTCGTGGTGTGAGTCGTTCGGGCTCCTCGTGGTGTGAGTCGTTCGGGCGCCTCGTCCTGGTGTAAGTCGTTCGGGAACCTCGCCCTGGAGTGAGTCGTTCGGGCTCTTCGTGGTGTGAGTCGTTCGGGCCCCTCGCCCTGGTGTGAGTCGTTCGGGCTCCTCGTGGGGCCTCTTGGGGGCCTCTTGGTGCCTCTTGGGGCCTCTTGGGGGCCTCTTGGGGGCCTCTTGGGGACCTCTTGGGGGCCTCTTGGGGGCTCTGGGGGCCTCGTGGGGGCCTCTTGGGAGCCTGTTGGGGGCCTCTGGGGGCCTCTTGGGGGCCTCTTGGGGGCCTCTTGGAGGCCTCTTGGGAGCCTCCTGGGGACATCAAGGCGCCATCTTGGGGCCTCTTGCGACCTCCTCAGAAGCGCAAATGAGCGCTACCCCCTGAGAAAGACAAAATGAGCCCCAAACCTTCGTAAAATCAATGATTCTGAGAACAAGGAAGAGGAGCGCTGCCCCCTCAGAAGGCCAAAATGGGGCCCAAACCGTAGTAAAATCAATGATTTTGGCGTCACAGAAGAGGAGAGGGTTTTTTCTCTATCCCCCCGTCGGGGCGAGAATCCTCGTGAGGGTCGTCGTTTTTTGGCCCTCCCAGGCGTCGAAAAGGACCCCCCTGACCACCCGTGGGGCGCCCTCTCCAGGTCCAGGGGGAGGGGGGAGGGGGAGGGGTAAACCTCTCCCCGAAGGGGAAGAAGGGGGGTTGAGGACAGAGAGGGCTCCCTAAACCACTCACGCCCAAAGGGCTGGTGGGATTATGGGACAATCTGGGCCTCCTGGGGCTTACGCCCCAAACTGCCGCCGAACTAGTGAGAGGTCAGCGAGGCACCGAATCTGTTTTTCAACTGCGTGTGAGTGGCGCTCTGCTGCCTGCTGCGGGTCTTGGGATCCGGCTCTGGGTGGTCGTCCACTCTCACGCCCAGCAGGCAGTATATTCGGGCGTCTTCGGGCCTCGTCGGGGGAGGAGCAGCGGGGGGCAATCCGCGTGGGGCGAGCGAGGATTGTGGGACAGAAGGTCTTAACGTCAGGAGGGGAAAAACCACAGACACGATTAATCGTCCACTCCCAAGAAAATATGGGAAAATATGGGAAATGGGGGGGAAGACAAAAACCCAGAAAATATGGGAAAATATGGGGAATCATGTTATTTGTGTGCATTTATTTGTGTGTCCTGGGGCCCCTTCGTAACGGGCCTCTGGATGACCCCTGAGCTGCCACCGCGGGCCGAGGAGGTGCGCGAGAGGTGCGCGTTTTTTCTCGCCCCATGTTTACCCAGGCTCCCAGACGGGGTCGGAGTCGACGAGGTCGGAGGGTCGCGCCGCGCCACGGATGCATCGGTGACGTGGACGTCACCGTTGCGTCGCCGACGTAGATTATGCATCCCCGATGCATTGGTGATGCATCGGCGATGCGGCGCGATGCTCCGACCCGATCAATTCGTACCCCATCTCAGAGGCCTCTTGTTTACTGCCCCCCGTTGACGAACACCCCACCTTTTCTGGGACCCCCCGAAGCGTCCCGAGGCCTCAGAGGATTTTGGGAGGCTTTTGGGAACCTTTGAAGGCCTCCTGGGGGGCCTCACAGGGACTTCCGGGGTCGCACTCGTCGCCACGGCTGGGTTCGCTGTAAAGGAAGCCGCGCTTTCTTTCTACGGAGGGAGGACGTCGACGACGACGACGACGACGACGACGACGACGACGACGGTGACGGCGACTTACGCTCGGGTATCCACAGGCTCCCAGGAGTATTTTGGAGAGGTTCGGAGGTCCTCGAGGAGTTCTTGGATGTTCTCCCAGGGGTTCAGGTCTTCGTGAGTCGTGCCTACCAGAAAACAGGACTTGCGGTTTCAACAAGCTCAGCGGCCCTGGGCCGCCCCCGGGCCCCGAGACCTTGAAGATATATGTCGGCCAAGGTTTGTCGTTGTCGTCGGCAAAGGTTTTTCCAGATTCTCGGCCAAGGTTTTCCTTTATTCCCGGCTAAGGTTTTTCTATGTTTCTGGCCTGTGCGGGTCCTCACCGGGCCTCGTGGCCGTCAGAACGCGACCCAGGAGGAAAAGACGGTCCTGCGGAATGGGTCGAGCCGTCTCGGGGTCGACGTTCTAAGAGAATCTTGATGTGGGGGGTCTGGCTCTGCCAACACCCGGAGAGCGGAGAGGAGGAGG